GTCCTGTACTATTTGTGGACCCAAATAGGAAACTTTGTCGCCTGCTCACATCATTTACCACCAGAGGACACAGACTGTTTTTTTTTCTGAAATACAAATAATGTCGGGGCACATATGTGAGATTCGCCAGCTGCCTGTAGCACGTTATCCTGACCTTTTTGTTATTAGATATGCTAGTAGGGAGTTTTGGCAGATTTTAATAATCCATTAGACCCAATTATGAAAACTTCGGCCACCCCTGTTGGATTCGAACCCACGCCAGGAGGAGGAGGAAGGCTTTAGTACAGCCAGCCCTCTAGACAAGTGAGCTACAAGCCCTTTTAAAAACGACCAAACTCCTGATAATTAAGCATACCTGGTAGTCATTTGGTGGATTCTAGATTCATTACTCAAGAAATTCTGCTTGGGCAGTCAGCTTAATGTATCAGAATTAGTGGATTTCATATGTTGCAGTGGGGTTGATTGGTTCCCGGATGGTAGCTCAAATGTCGAGAACATTAGCTGTACTAAAGCCGCCCCCTTGCCGGCGTGCGTTCGAATCCCACTGAGGCCGCTGTTTTTTTCACAATTAGGTGTAATGAATTACCTTTATTGGCTGGACCAAATTTAGCCCAATGAGAACTGGAGATAATGAGCCGGCTGATTTTCCAGCCGTCTGAGCGAGTTTGTTCCATGGCACCCAGTGGACATACCTTGACAATGACTACTGGATAGGCACCAACGGGCCGCGTTCTTTTTTCAGCGATTTCTGAACTTCTCTCTTTTCAGACTTAATTAGAATGCCTGGCACAGCTTTGCCGCAGGATATGAAGCATGGAGAACTTTTAAAAACACGGGGGATAGATTGCCGTTGGCTATAAAAAAACATATCCAAGAGCATGTTAAGTTCTGGGATAGCATCCTATGGCTAGATGAAACAGATGTTACCTTATTCCAGAATGATGGAGAAGGGATAGGACCGTTCCTGATCCGAAACATGCAGCCGTGTCTGTTAAGCACGCTGGACGTACGACTATGGAATAGGCCCATACCTCCCTAGAAGAGGAAGGAGGCACACGTAAAAGTACTTTAGTTGGTACACAATTCGTCCGATCCGAATTTCAATGCCCTCAAATTCAAGCTGAACATCAGCAACTTCGGCCCATATCCAAAATGTAATTCGAGCTCTCATATGCTGTGGTAGGACCCAACTAATAATTTTGCTCTGCTAATATTCCCATGTTTAACTTGAAAAGTCTATGTGTTTTCGGCAATCCATCATCAGATCTGTACAACTGCATGAATGATTAAAACTCATCGTTTTCACATCGCCCGCATGGCGAGATTAGCATGTAGAGGTCATTGGACTGGGGGAGGGGTAGGGGGAATAGGATAGGCTGTGAGTATTAGCTATGGATAGACTATGCGGAGTGGAAATCAAAGTTACGTGCGCGGAGTGAACAACTGTCAGCCGGGGAGTGGGGCCGACATGGGATCCTCATCTAGCGTCAGCGTCACCCACGGAAGTGAGAGCGCTTGTATTAGCGTCTTCTGTCAACACCGTTTTGGATTCGCTGGCCCTATAACCACTGCCTTGGCTGCTGCTAGCAGCCGTTGACGTAGACCCTTAGGGCGGTTGGCTGGTGTCCGGCAGACAAATTGAAAGGTTTCGCTAGGTTCAACTAGTTGATTCGTAGTGTCCAAAGGCCGAGCTCGAGATCGATCACGTTTTACCTTTACTTAGCCTGACCGGCATGTGTTCGCGTACCTTCTTTTTAAGGCGCCTTGTTGTTCGGGCAATGTTGCATATGGCCATACAGTTGCGGACTCAATCCCGCATCTGTGTCAACATTTTTCAGTCACCACAGATGTTGCCGCTTGTCATGTCTTTCCTCTGTCCCTTCCTCCCGCCTGACTTAATCTCCCTGCCATGTCTTCTCTTCCACAGGGTCACAGCCGTGGACCCTTCCTTGTGGCCGCCCCCCTCTCCACCATCATTAACTGGGAGCGCGAGTTCGAATTCTGGGCGCCCGACTTCTACGTAGTCACGTACGTGGGCGACAAGGACTCCCGCACAGTCATCCGCGAGCACGAATTCTCCTTCGACGAGGGTGCTGTACGCGGTGGCAGTCGTGCGGTGAAAATGCGCTCCGGCACCGCGGTGCGTTTCCACGTCCTCCTCACCAGCTACGAACTGGTCTGCATCGATCAGGCCCTGCTCGGCTCCATCGATTGGGAGGTGCTGGTGGTGGATGAAGCCCACCGGCTGAAGAACAATCAGTCCAAGTTCTTCCGGATGCTCAGCATCTACAAGATTGGCTACAAACTGCTTCTAACCGGCACTCCACTGCAGAACAACCTGGAGGAACTGTTCCATCTATTGCATTTCATGTCCCCCGAGAAATTCTACGATATGCAGGGCTTCCTGGATGAGTTTGCGGATATTTCGAAGGAGGATCAGGTGAAGAAGTTGCACGAGATGCTGGGGAAGCATTTGCTGCGACGTCTGAAGGCGGATGTACTGAAGAATATGCCATCGAAGGGCGAGTTCATTGTGCGTGTTGAGCTGAGTCCCATGCAGAAGTAAGTTTAGGATTCTGTGCAACCTGTATCTCATGATCTTTTTATCTTCCTGAGGCTGCCTATATAAGGAACGTTTTTTTTTATCTCTGGTTAGTGCACCATGCGCTGCCCCTTGCAACATGCCAATCTCACTTACTTTAGCCACAAACACACTAAGTACCTTTCGTCTAATAGGAGAAGTCAATCAGCTATGAGAAGCAATTTATTCCTTACGCAGGGCAGGTTGTCGCGAGATGGCTACTTGGTTGTGTGGCTGAACAAAGCGTCCGTTCTGTAGCGTGTGAGCAGCGTTGTGTAGTTTACGCACCTGTGTATGTTTTTGTCAGTACGAGCGCGTGATTGGCTGAACCAAGGATAGCGTCCAGAGCGTATGATCATAAATAAAATCACCTGGGCGTTAAAGCAGGCTAGCTGACGCGCTTCAGCTAGCCCCAGGTGATAGCGAGACCGTGACTGAACGCAGCTCAAGCCTGCGGGGGCTGCCGTGCTTTGGAGGTACGCCTACTGGTTAGCAAATTTATCGAGAAGCTGGTGAAGGGGGCATCAGAGCGGCTGCTACACCTATACTTGTTACCGTTGCGATCATGTCCGGTCTAGCTGGCCTTGGTAATTTCAGGGGTTGTATCTTTCGACGCTAAAGGATCCACGGCAGCAGACTGCATTCTCTCCGCCAACGACGGAGGTCGAATACCGTAGGTCCAAGAACTGCGTGTCGAGCCGGTTTGTGAGCTGACTCTCCTCTTCGACGCCTGCAGTTAGGTTTATGGATGTCGAATCGAGGACAGTAACACTCAGCTCGTGAGGTGAATGGCGGGGAGCGTGTCTAAATCACCGCAGTCGTATTTCTTGGCTGACTTGGGATATCCTTGCGATGTTGTTGTAGCGATTGCGGTCTCATTTGGGACGAAGTCGCTGTTCTTCACTCGTAGGATAGTCATCAAGCAGTGGTGATCAAATGCATCCGGTTTTCGATAATCTTCCGCACACATAGCTCAGCATTCACAGCCATAAAGAAGAACTGAGTGAATGGACGTAAAATACACGCGAATCTTCAGGGCGATGGAGATGTCGTGCCGGGTCTATAGAAATTGTCTTAAGCTTGAGAAAATTCGACAAGCAGCATCTATTCGGGAGACAATACCACATGTCCTGCGTGTAGCTATGTACAAAGAGGGAGTTCAAAGGTATTTACCTATATTCCCCTAATAAAACTGAACTGAACTGAACCCTTTCTCTATCCGGATAGCGCCCGGAGCGTGTGACCAAAAAATCACTTGGGCGCTAAAGCAGGCTGGCTGAGGCGCATTAGATAGCCTCAGATACAAATGCGATTGTGACTAAGCTCGGCTCAAGCCCTTGGGGTTGCCGTGTTTTGGAGGTGCGTTTGCTGGTTAGCAAGCTTG